TGTGTTTCTCAGTGGCCAGCGGGACAGAGCCCTAGGCTGGCCTCGTCGCTGCTGCCTCCCCCGCAGCTGCTACTGCCTTTCTGACTGTGCACTAGGTGAGCTTTGGCGAGGCGGGAGGCCCAGGGCCAGTGTGACCGCTGTGTGAGGAGGAGGAGCGTGGCCCTGGCTTTTTTCTCCCTCACGTGAGCTCTTGCACGGAGCTTGGCGTTCCCTCCCCGTGGCTCTGCGGGGTAAGGCTTTCAGGACGGCACGCCAGGAAACGAATGGCCCTGGACTCGGTGGCCTCTGGGACCACCCTGTGCGGGTACCCTGTCCCCTTTCTCAGACCTGTGGCTCCTGAGCACGTTCCCCACTCTGCCTTGAACTTGCTTGGCAACCTACAGCTTGGTCTGATTGTTTAGGTCTGTCTTTTTAACATGAAAGACAGGACTATCGTGTTAAAGAGCCAGGAGGGAGGGAGGTGGGGGCCCATGTCCCTGTGTGTGACGGCCTCCATCTCACCCCTCAGACGGGAGGCTTTCATCCCAGATCCTGGAGGTGCTGGGTCAGAACAGAGGAGCAGCTGCTCCAGCCCTGAGGCCGTTCTCCCTCTGCATCCGCATCCGCATCGGCGGCGGGACGCTCTTATTCCAGGTCGTGCGCCTCATGCTCAGTTCAGGAAAGAGAGGGAGGCCCCGGCTCGAGACCACCTCAGTGAAGCCTGGAGGCAGCCCTGCTCAGGAAATGTTGCTTGGCTGGCTTACTTGAGGGTTGGTTTTTAGAGTGTAACCTGGGTGGAGGTACAGCCTCCCCAAAATAAGGAGGTTGAAGGATGACAAGTGTCGACCAGAGGGGAGGGAGGAAACCAGTGCTTCGCCCAGAGGGGCCTGGCGCCCGGTGTGATCCCCCAGCTGCTCTGCCTGCGCCCTGAGCTTGCGCGTCCCACCGCCTCCTTCGTCCCCGGTTAAGCGTCGCTGAATATTGTGTAGCCAGGGTAGCCGCAGCAGCCCGGGGCGAGGAGCTCCCCAAATGCCCTGGCGTGTGAGGAGAAGGCGCGGAGGCCCCTTAGTGAGGAAAGGGTTGCCGTGCATGGGGCAGAGGGTCCCCATTCCAGTCTCTGTTCTCATCACTTTTTGTGGGTGATGAGGGTCAGTAGATGGCAACTGACTCTCTTAAGGACATTTTGATGCCTGATTAATGTTGGGATGCACCAGGAAGGAGAGAAAGTATCTAGAGATAGGAAGGCAAGTTGCCTCTGTCAGCCCCATCCCCACCCATGTCTGGGCTACCCCAAACTTGGGCAGCTCCCCTAGAAGTGGGTGAGGGCGAGAGCCACAGCCCAGTTTCCCCCAGACCTGGTCTCCATGCTCTAACACACGTCACTGGCACACCCGGTACCAACTGGCACACGTGCCTGTCGTGTTATTGTCAGAATGCAAGCAGGGACATCACCACGTTCCAGTTGTGCTGTGGTCTTTGTGGATCTGTTTTCTAATCTGCCAAGACTTCCCTAACAAAAGGGACCTATAGCTTTAAGAACTCTTTTATGGGAGATTTCCTGCCAGGCCAGGGCCCCTGACACCTCATCTCTGTAACCCGCTTGAAGTTGTGCTTGCGTGCTTGTCCTCAGCACCCACTCTATGTTCTGGGCAGTTTGCAATGTGTTATCATTTGGTTTTGCAGAAGAAATAATAGCATCTCTGGTTTTTAGTGCTGACTGTATGCTGGCGCCATGGCAATACCTTTCAGTGAGTCCGCAGGCCACCCGGGAGCAGGGCCACATTATTCTCATTTCGCAGGAGGAAACGGGCGTCAGGGAGGCTGAGTCCCTTCCCAGAGCCTCACAGCCAGGATTACCTGGATCTGAACCATGAATGTGGAGAGGAGCTGTGCCTTCGTCACAGGCTGGACTGCGTCTGATGGAGGGATAATTACTGTCCTTTGGTGCCACATCTTGGCCCGCTCTCCCCCACGTCTGTGATGTGCATGCGTGTGCGTGTGTGCGTGTGTGTGTGGATACACGCAGCTGCCCCACTCTCAGGAGCTAAGTAACAGGACGAGGGTCCTAGCCGGTTTGCTCAGTGGGTAGAGCTTCAGCCTGGTGACCAAAGGGTCCCGAGTTTGATTCCTGTCAAGGGCATGTACCTTGGTTGCAGGCTCCTCCCCGCCCCGGGCCCTGGTCGGGGCTCATGCAGGAGGCAACCAATGGGTGTGTTTCTCTCACATCAGTGTTTCTCTCTGTCGTTCCCTCTCTCTTCTACTCTCCCTAAAAATCAATGGAAAAATACCCTTGGGTGAGGATTTTAAAAAAAAGAAAGAAAAAAACAGGAGTGGGCCCAGAGCGCCTAGCATTGCCCATAAACCCCAGGCATAGACGGAGCTTTGTGTCCCGTTAGAAGCGTGGCTACACATCCACCTGAGAAGCACGTGTGCATTGCGCAGGGTCTGGACTTGGTGGGTGTTCCCGGCGGTGTCTGATTATGGAGCTCGCAGGCCTATCGCAGGAAGGGCAAGGCTTTGTCTTGGTGCGAAGATGTGCAGAGCAATTCTGCTTCCTCCTTGAACGTGGGTGGCAGCTTCTGTGTGCCGCCCGGGGTGCTGCACGGGCTAGGCGGTGCGGCCGGATTCCAGCAGCTAACTTCAGGGCATGTGCATTTTTTCCTCTCGGTGTTGGCTGACGACGGTGTTGAGTTCAGCCGTTCCAAGCAGGCATGCACGACGGGCCTCTGCCTGGAGACCCAGAGCAGCCGGGCCGCCCTCTGCAGCCCTGCAGGCTTGCGCTCTGGGCTCCTGGGAGCACCTCACTGCACGGGGCCTGGTTTGGATATCCAGACGGTGGCTCCAGATGAGTTGTGAACAGGAACAGCTTGAGGTTCTGTTGCTCAGGGGAGAGGCTGGCAGGGCGCCCCCTGCAGAGAAGCCCACCTTCCGGAGACCGATTGGTTCTCCCAGCTTTACCCTCAGCCACCCGGTCCTCACGATGCAGTGGCCTTTACACAATGAGTGCTGCCGGCCTGACGAGCTCTCCCCGGGCAGCAGCCTTCTGAGCCCGAAGTGAGCACAGCTGTCAGGGGAGGCCGGGCTCCCAGGACGGTGAAGAATACCTTGGGGTTTAAAAGGTGTCCAGGCAGGGAGCTGGCGCACATCCTATGGGGCACTCTGCTGGGCAAGGAGGTGTGTTTTCCAAAACCAGAGTCCTGCTGCGCCTCAGCACTGGCACCCATGGAGCGCGCGTCTGTGCCCTCCGAATGACCTTGCGCTCCTGAGCGAAGGCGCACAAGGTCATGGCCAGCGGGAGCCGGCAAGGTTCTGAAATGGTGAAGGCTGTCAGTAGCCAGAGAGCATCCAGCCCACCGTTGGCTTCTTCCCACCCCAAACTGGAGGCCATTGTGGCCTATGCTTTATATATACATGTTGGTCTCCTTTTCTCCCGTCTGGTTAGTTCATCAGTGTGTTTAAAGCGTCTTCATTCAGTGTGAGGAGTGGCATGGGTTTGCCTCTGACATGTGGCTCCATGGGAAATGGGCGGAGGAATTAAGAAGTTGCCAGGAAAAAAAAAAAAATAGAAAAAAAAAGAAGTTGCCAGAAGCTGATCCGCTGGGAGCATGGAAAGGTCAGCATTTCAGTACGTGGATTTCCTCCGGAACCAATGAGCAGTTTCCTTCTCTTCCTTTAAGTGGCAAACCCTTCTCTTGTTTAGTCATGTAGTGATGTATAAAGACACATGTATATGTAGGTGCACACATGTGAGGTCTGACTGTAAGGTGGTGTGTCGGGTTTCTCTTCTTAAAATCCAGAAGATCCAAGTGTTTCATCTCACCCTCCTCAGAAGGCGGCCCTTTGGGAGACTCTGTCCTGGTCACGGCCGCGCTGCCCAAGGAGAACTTGGTGTGAACGAACCCTCTGTTGGTATGGCTTTGGGACTGGTGTGTTCATGTCAGTGTCCTTAGACATAGAACGCTTCATCCTTTGAAGATGGACTTAGGTTTGGAAGAAATCCGAGTCATTCGCTCGGTTGGATAAATAAAGATGTGTGATTAAGGTAAGTCACACCATTTTAGCTTTAAACAAACACAACACAACAAAACCCCTAAGATGTTCCTTGGAGTGAGTCTTTGGACTCCAAGAGCCCCTCAAAGTGACCACTTCTTAGGAGGACAGCCGTCATGAGTCTGTGTAACTTCTAGTGGATCCATTTTTTTAAATCTGTTCTCTCGCCGTGCCTTGTATGAGCTCCCATCTCCGCATACACACAGACGTGAGCGCGGAGTCATTGGTTTAAACTCCGGTAGGTGCCCTGTAAAGCCGCGTATGCTTAGCGCATGTTATTGTCATGTTATGCTCTGAGCGAGGTGTTTGTCATGAAACTTTGCTTCGTTGCAGAATTAAAATATTGTTCTCAATATAATGAAGTACCTATACCGCATTTTCTTGTGTCAGCCCCGGAAGCTTTGACGCCCAGTGGTGTGTTTACATGTGACTTTGCCTAGGATTCTGTTCACATCTAGACACCTGCCTG